TTGGAACAGGCTGCCCAGGGAGGTGGTTGAGTCGCCATCCCTGGATGTGTTTAAGAGATGGGTGGATGTTGTGCTGAGAGATATGGTTTAGTGGTGCTGATACGGCTAAGACAAAGGTTAGATTCAATGATCCTGAAGGTCTCTTCCAACCAAAACTGTTCTATGATTCTACAGTTCTATGATGCTATGATTCTATGTTACTGTAGTGACATTTTGACTGGCAAAAGATACGTGCTGTACATTGTCTGTGACGGACCAAGGTAAAAAGCTCTGCTAGGGTAAAAGGAAGCCAACCACTACGGCCCAAAGATCTGCTGAATGTAGGTGTCATCTATAACGATCTGCTGACTTTTCATAAGTATTCTCCCATTTTCTTCCTTTTTTCTGTGACTTAACCTCTCTGCATCACAGTGACACTAGTTATCCTCATCATCTAAAAGGATTTATAAAGTGACCAGCCAATGTCTATGCAGAACGGGCATTATGCGTTTCTCTGATATTTATTTATTCCTTTTAGGTAATTGACTATTAGATTGTTTGTGCCAAATTAACATGTAGGCACAACGCATTCTATTTTTCCCATGGAATAAAGCTAGCAATAAGGCAAACTTTCCTGCTCAGTTCACCTAAAATGCTTCCAGCTCTGCCTGCTGGGAAGACAGCTGAAGTCTTACAGCCATACAAACTTGACCTCCACTAGTCTGTCAAGATGGGCATCAGCTGCATTTTCCTAAACCAGCACAAAGTTGTGCTGGACCAACATCACAAGAAGAGATTTCAAACTCAGAGCAAATCTAAATCTACCATTTTCAGTGAATGCCAATTTTTCCACTTAAAGCAGACTTCTAAGAACACAATGACAAAATCATGTGAGTCCAGGGCACAAGATACAATAAAGGATACTGGAAAGATTTATGACATCCCCCAAGATGTGTATCTGTTTTCAGCTGCATATCTCAAACATTTCCAAAAATGAATATGAGTGTCTAGATTCATTTTAGGGGTAAGAAAACAGGCAATTCAGCAAGTCTGTGAGGGACTCAGAAAAACACAAACCCCCTGGTCAGATACTTCATGTGCCAGGACATACTGTCTATGGTATTATACCGCATTATGATCAGCTATGGAGAGTCACACTGTCATTCCATGACAATGTAAAACGTAGGTTACCAAACGAGACTGAGACTAAACAGGAATTCGTTCTGTATCAGAATGAGAGGAGGATGGGAAAATGTCTGGTTCTGGTATTCGCAATCTCATTTAGATCATGTGGTCTCCAGCAAGTCACAGATTTTGCTTTAAGCATTCTTTACAAGTCAAAGAACTTTACTCCAGTCACAGTGCAGCTGGATTCCCAAGCAATTGCTCTAGCTAGGAGTCTCTAGTCATACATTATTTCTTTAAAAAAGATTCATATAAGGGCTATCACACAAATTCAGTTTCTTCTTAGAGTGATTACATTCAAGCTCTTACCTGTGAAGGGCAAGTCCAAGTCACATATTTCAAATACTAGTCACTAACATAGAAACAGGATTACCTCTTCAAAAACAAACCAACAAAAATCCCCCCACCTTCCAACCGAAAAATCTGAACAAAATACCATTATCAGTCTGACATATGACATATCGCTCCTTACCTGCTGAAAGTCTCCAGTAGAAAAGCTAATAATAACTGTTGGAACCACCATGAAACAAGCATTATAGAAAAGGACACCATATTTTCCCAACTCCTGTGAAAAATGAAACATGGCGTTTGAAATGACAAGCCATTTGGTAGCTAAACTAAATACTACTCTGGCAATCCTGATATAATTATGAATGAGCAGACAGAGCATAATACATTTCCATTTAAAATACAAACTTGCAATCTGTTGATTGTTTAGTACTGAGCCAAGTGTCCAGTTCAGGCACTTTGTCTGTATGCTCAGTAGAGTATTACTGTTGTGTTATATCTTGAAGGGTTTCTATATGGCACCAGCTAGTCAGAAACTTCGAAAGGTACCCCCTTCTCTACCTGCCCAAGGGTTTACCAACTGCACCTACTGCAAATCAACTATAGAAGCGCAAGGCAGAGTAGCTCCCCTGGCCCAGCATAACAGGAAAATTAATTAAATCTGCCCCTAGACAGAGTGCCTGCAGTCGCTGCTAACTGATATAACTTCAAGTAACTTGAAAAATGTCATATATCCTGCTGTTTAGCTTGCTTGACACAAAGACAGACGATTAGGCGAATGAAAAACCAGCCCTCCCTTTCCCCAGATTCAGCTGTGCTACTTAGTAAATCTCTCCAGCTTATCTCTTCCTTTAAAATGAAACCCCGTATTTTGCACAAAATTATGATGCCACTAAGTGATGCTCATAAAGATTGGATATGATGTGACTCCTGAGATTATTATAAGATATATATTTACACTGTATAGACTGAACCACAAAAGTCAATGACAAAATCTCTATCCTGCATGTCCAAGACTGATCTCTGCTACTGCTTGGTATGTTTTCATGGCACTGTATTTGAAAAGTAGTCTGCTCAATGTTTACATAAAGCATAATGTATCAAGGTATCGCCTAATTCTTTGGCATACTTGTGTTTGGTCTACACTTTCTTTTAGATAGGCAAAAAAGTTATCAGTTGCTGTGGTCACTGACTCAATCTGGACAGATCTCTATTCCTATCCACAAGTTTATTTTACATAAACCTCCTTTAAATGGTGTTTCTGATCACAAAGTAATTTTCTTTAGATATATATTAAGTTCACAGGTAAACAATTTGCTTTTGCTTTGGATTTTTTTTAATCTGTTTTTAACTAAGAGCAACATTTTAAAACCACTACAAACTCCACCCAAAAGACTCTGGAGAAAATAAAATACACTGTTTATCTAAGCCTGGCCTGAGATACCAACAAGTTTTTCCCAGGCTGTCCTGTATTAGCGAACGTGAAACATGAAAGCAAATGAAACTATTTGTTAGTTCATAACTGTACGTTCATAACACATTGTCGTCATGTTAAACTCAACTTAATGACCCCGCAGTTACCTTTGGATCAATTTTCTGCTTTGTGTAAACTCCGTTTGCTGCTGTGAAGATATCATTTAGCAACACAAAAGTGTAGCCCTCCAGATTAAAAGACAGATCAGACCTGGGAAAGAAATGTTATATTATATTGTAAATAGGCAAATACACAATGCATTGCATTGCTTTGTTTACCCAGAGAAATATCATAAATGAGGAAATGCAAGTCCCAAGAACTCAAGCCGGTTTTCCTTTAAGCTTTCTTTGCAAGTCAAAGTACTTTACATATCTCCAGTCACAGGACCATCATAAATGAGTCACCAGAGAGTTCCCATACTCAGTAGCGAAGTGGCAGGAAATGTTCAGTTTTCATTCTGTGAAAAATTCGATCTGTCTCAATCCTGACAACCTGTCCAATTATTACTAAGTAGACTTATCTATTTGTTTTAACACAAGAAGCAGCTAGGGAATAAAGTCTGACTACTTGTTTTCTACAGTCACACCAGACATATTATCATCCTTTCTGTTTTGACTAGTTACTTCACGGATATATGGTAATTCATTTAATAGGACATGGCTCTATCCTAGTCACTTTGCATGAAAATCATTGACCTTTGTATACAGCAAAGCCAAGAAACAAAAGATAACATTACATTTCCAGTTATGTCAAGGAATATTCAAAGAGAAAGAGGAGACTAGCATACAAGTGCTTTTTGAACTTAATCTCCTACTTGAACTTTTTCAAAGTGATTAAAAAAGACATTGCCTAACTTAAAACAATATTTGACAATCAAAAAATTAGTCTTTCTATCCAGATCCAAGAATATATTCTTCTAAGTTTATTAAAACATACTGATACTCTGAAATAAAAGCAGTATTCCTCACACAGTTTTAATTTGTTTCATTTATGATCCTGCAAATATGGAAAACCTGGGGCGAGGAACAAAAGAAGCACCCAAACACTTAAGTTAAATTTTTCTCTTTGTACTTCTCAATGATGTCAGTAGTTTTGCACTTCTCAATGATGTCAGTAGAGAGATTTTTCAGATCAACTTAATCCAGAGTAACTGATCTCAACTTAGGTTTACGTTGCAGTTAACAATGAAAAAATCCTCCTGTTGTCTCTCCTCTCATAACATGACTTCATGTAACAAATGAAAACCTTACCCAGCTGCTATGAAAGCCCCAAGAATGATGGCAAATACGCTGACTATAATACTCAGGGGGTATCGTTTCCTGTAGATAAAAATTAGACAGTTCACATTTTCATTATTTGAAGAAGACATTATATGTCTATCTGCCTGAAAAGTTTCAAAGCAATTAGTAATCACAGAACATTTAATAGGAAGGCAGAGCCTTGATAAGCTTACAGAAGCAATGTGTTAGGCTGTCAGACTTTGGCCCTGAGAACAGAGATTGAAAAAGCATTGTGAGTATTCTGCTACTCAAGGTAAAGATTAAAGGTTTAAGGCAACAGTGCTGGAGCAAACTGTAATACACTGTGTACTGGTATTCATAATTGACATATTTCAGCATCTTCCAGTAATCCAAAACAGGAAAAGCACTATGCATTTCTCAGGTAGTTATTAATGTCACCTTTCTGGGGAAAGATGCTGTACTGCACAGCATCTGGCTGTTTTTCAAATATGAACTTAGTGTATGAAGTCAAACCAAAATCTTGAACTTAAAGGGGAAAGCACAGAACCTTAAGATATTCTTCACTATATCTGCATCATTACTGCCACAGAGTAGGGAAGAACACCGTAAAACTATTTTGCTTCTTATATCTGCGTTACTTTATTTAGAAATGTGTTAAGTACTTATTTTTTGCACCACATGCAATGTGCCTTACAGACACTTCCCTAGCCTTTCTCTCATGCCAGCTCTGAGCGAACCTGTGAGAAAAGACCAACAAAACAACACCTAGGGAGAAATCCTGTGTGTCAAAGGAGCACAGCTGTGGACCACTGTCCCAACAACAAAGCTGTGTGCAGTCTCTAAACCTATTAGGCTTTGATCATAGCAGCTCCTGACAGTAACAACCCAAACCTTGACATGAGGTAAATCAGCACAGGTTCTCTGGCATCCTTTCATTTTCAGCCCTGAGGAAACACACTGCAGCAGTATGTACAAATACAGCATTTGGTTCTTAAGCTTCCCTCAGATTACGCCATTAATTGCACTTGTGCACCACGCTGCTGTACTACAGCTGATAAGCGATGACAACCTTCTCGATTCATACTTTCCTTGCTTTGCGGGAGTCAACAGAAGACAGCAAGTTCTGCTTTCCCTGTGAGAACTTAAAACTAGAAAAGGATCCCAGACCATCCCCAAATGTGAATCACAAGCATCAACTGATGCACCAGCCAAAACGAGATGACAGTTGACACAAGGGCTTTTTGAAAAGCTTCTCCCCTGATCATCACTCTCATCTTGCCTGGGCTCAGCTTCAACAAGCTACTTTTACCCTTCTGAGCTCACCTTAACCAAGCACAAGCCATCTGGATAGAACTATGATGGTGAGAAAGTCTGACGTATTTATATTCTTGTTTTTCTTCCAAGTCAGTACCACTGAAACTAGAGATCCCACGTGGCAACAGCATGGACTTCTTAATGGAGGTATCTTCAACTAGGGAGTTTACTGATCTAACAGGACAGTGGTAGATACCATTTTGCTTCATTAGCAGCATTAGAAGCATTTAGACTTGACACAGAAAGCCACTCTATATAAGCAGATTGCAACACTATCCTCACCATTTTGATCCCTGTGCGATATGGAGCTGTCTGTTTGAAGCAGTTTGCAGCTCAGTGGCCTCCAAAATGAGACAAACTATAACTGCTAAAAGAGTTGCACCCTGCTTACCTGGCTCCTGTGCAACAGTCAGGAGAATAAGCTGTGTAAATGAGAGTAAATTGAATTTTGTTTTGCTGTATTCACTAGAACACATATATCTATGTCTTCAAAATAGGCCACACAAAACCATTTTCTTTGGTTTTCTCCATTTGTTACTAAAAAGCACTCATTTAATAGTTTGATGAGATGCCACAAGTAATTCATCCGATATGATCTAAAATAAAAGTATCTTGAATGAAAAAAAAAGATCACCCAAGTATGATGACTTCCAGCAGTAAAGTAAGCGGAATGGTAAACTTCCTGAGCACTGTAAACATCGGCAAACTGTCAAAAAAAAAAAAAATCAAGCACAGTGTCAGATAAACAGCATTTTTATGTTCTAACTCTTATCTAACTTTACTAACCAGCAGATGAAACCAATACAAATGCTGCCAGTTTGTAAAACAATGCAGTTGGCTACCTTTTAAAAGGTCACTCTGCATCAGTGAAATAGAACATAAAAGTTATTTTCTACCTACCATAGGCTCTATGTAATAATTCTTTCCATAGAATTCATGGGAAGGGTAAGTAAAAAATATTCCTACTGTAAATTTAGAAGCCATGAAGTAAACCTGTCTCTGAAAACGTACACAGAAATAAAACACAAAGCAAGGACACTTAGTAAACAAGCTGTATTTTCGAAAAAATAAAATAAATATACAAGAAAATTTAGGGAAAGTACAAGAAACATGAAAGGTGGGATCAGCTGCAACTCCCAAAAAAACCGCTCCTTTAGAACAACATATTGTCCGTCTACATGAAGTAATGCAGTTGTAAATCTTTTTTAATTACTTTGAGAAAACCCCTGCATCTGACACTTTGGAAATCTGACAGCATTGCCATATGGATTAATTAATCTTCCGTGTAGGATAACTATTAGAAACTGCATTAATAAATTATATAAATCTTAACACAGAGTTTAATCACTTTATAACAGACATTTTGAGGTTATGCACAGGATCATCTGCATCTCACAGACAACCCCAACATGGTGGAAAATTTCATAATGTAAACAAATGTCACATGTTACAAATTACACACAAGGTAACAAAACGTTAATGGTGGAAACACTGCTGCCATTCTTACTTTTCTGTTATAAACATTAGTTATGAATATGAACCTAAAATAGGTACGTCAGCCATAGGAAGAGGAGATGGTGCACTTATGTTTAAATAACCTACAAAACTTTTTAGTTTAAAATTTCAGTTAGGGAAATGGGAAAGAAGCACCTATGAATCAAACTTTTACAGGACTGAAACTGCTTCCATATTCACGATGGCTGAAATGCTACTAGGAACAGTACTGCCAAAGTCCCTATGCCTGCCTCAGCGGTCACCTCAGTGGAACAACTTCTAAATGTGTAAAACAAAGAGGTGCAGAATCAGACCTCTAATGTTGCCAGCCAGAGAAAATTAATTCTATAACTAAAACCAGATGTAAGCAAATTAATACATTTTCTCTCCCAGCATCTGCCTCAAAGTTATGAAATGCTGAAAACCTGCAAAATTCCTCATTTTGGCTTAGTTTACTACCAAATCCTCAGGAGCCTGTAATAACGTACAAGTAACAACTGCAATGTAGTGCTCCATCCTCCAGTACTGCTGTCGCCATCATGCTTCTGCACTCCTTTTCCACAAAAACTTTAGTCATTCGATGTGTAACAGCAGGTGTTCTACATAACTTACACCTTTTCAGCACTAGCATAGATGCAACTTTCATGGATGTATGCTTACCGGCATACAGGAGCCAGCAGGCCCTTCAGCAACCTCCCCACAACCAGCTTCCGCTGCTCAGCAGGGCTAGGCCACTGCCACTGCCTCACTCACAGTAATTTTTCCATCTCTTGGCAAATCCTACATAACCTGCAATGACATCATGCTACCAATCTTTCCTGTATGATTCTTCCTTCAAACATGTCTTTCTCACAGCTTTCAAACTCTCTGGTTAGGACACGCAGGAAAAGCTGGATGCTTGGGTGTGAGGGGAAAGTGAAAGCACTTTCATTGTCACAGACGAGTACTGTGATTTTCTGTCAGTACTGGCTAAGTCTCTTTAAAAAAGAAGGCATAAAACAGATAAAATGTTTGGGTAAGAATTTCACAATAGTATCAGGGATCCCTATGCCACGCTCTGTTTATTTTTTACCTCTACAAAAGAAAAGGGTAAAATCCAAACAGGCTACTTAAACTTTCATTTACTATACCTGAGTTTGCTGGTACTTGATAATCCACTTATGTGGTTTCCAACATAAATCAGAGGCAGAGGAAACAACTGTGATAAAATTAAAAGCACAACTCAGATTATTATGTTTTGAAGAACTCTGGAGAAACTTTACTTGATAGAATTTGTTAACTGTAATATCAGATTTAGCAAGTGTTTTAAGGAAAGAAATGCTGAAAACTGATCTGCAGCTTATGTTCATGTGACCACTCATGACTACACCTTCACTGATTTCATTAGAAGAGTTGTAATCTGCTCAAATTCGATTTATAGTAAATGCTCATCAGTTTTATTTGAATTACTATAATCCTCAGGGTAATACTCATTCTAACATTTGATTTTTGGGTATAAAAGTAATACTACTAGCAGTACCTAAATAGGCAAGAGAACAGCTGGAATAAAAGGATGAATACACTGTAAGTATGCTGTATGCTGTGCTTCTCCAGGTATTCCACATATATCAGTATGCCTGCAAGATACACCATTTTCGATCTACTCAGCAAATCGTGCTATGTGAGATATTACAAAGGTAAGTATTTAGAAGCAAATTAAACTTCACCTTTTCCAGCTTCTAGCATAACAAGACTGACTAACACAGATACATATGGGCCCTAGCACAATACAGAGAAACAATAACAGAACTTCAGAACCTTAAGAAAATGTACAAGAAATCAGGGATTCCTACACAATACTCATCTGTATCTCAAAGCCATTCAATTCTCCCAGTACAGAAAACTTGCAGAAGACTAAAACCAACCAAAATAATCAGTGGGGACAAAGGTGGTGCGTACATCTAGTCCCATTCATTATCATTCAGGTGGAAGCTGAAACAGCAGGAAGACAAAACAGATCCCATACCCTAATGTGTGTAATAGCTGCTGCTGCCTGTACACACTTCGGGAGGCACTGTGTTTGCTTCACGCTATGTATGCCCTCTTAAAGTATTGTGTGCTGGAAAAGCACACAGAGGAGTGGGGTGCATTTTATCTAAGTTAAAAATTCTGCATTTCTTTTACAGAGGAGAAAAGTAGGTTAAGACTTGACTACAGTTAACTAAATGTGACTATAATCAGGAGTATAAGTAACAGCAAATATTCAGCCCATCAACATAAGTTTGTAAAAATTTTGTAATGCATCATCTCTTCTGATTTTTGCTTAGGAAAATTCATTTTATTTAATATATAGGATGAAAACAGAGCTGACATAACCTTCTCTTTCCTCTGAAATTCATGTATTGCAAAGCCAAAAATACATCCAACACAACACCAGAGATCAGTGAAACATTTACTTAAAAGCAGTCAAGAACTCCAAAGCTTTGTCACTAAGTGCTTTGCTACTTTATCTAAAAGCACAGAGCACATAAACCAATCTGAAAGTGAAAAACGATAATGTCAATGAAAGCAACAGCTGTCAACAGGACAGTTGGTCAAAGGGTGCTTTAAAAAACTAAGAAGTCAACAATGAACAATCTAGCTGATTCACAGGGACTAATAAAATCCAGCAGTACAAGCAATAGGCAAACCCTGGATGCTGCAGTGTTGCCTGCTCCCAGCATATCCATGAAAGTCTTTCAAAGGACTGACATTATTAGGACAAAGAAAATGGGCGCTGTATTTTGTAATGCCTTTGTACTATTGTTAAAGCGAAGGCAGCAGCAGAGAGGGAAAGTAGTAGGACTGGAGGAGGTGGAGGAAAGAAACTTCTTGAGGTCTCAACAAGTAGTTTATACTCAGAACCCAAAACTACCCACTGCAAAACTTTTTCGTGTTTTGGAAGAAATAAGGATTGCCGATTTTACAATCAATGCTATACATATTCCCATAAGATTTTTACATGCAGTAGTGCCTATGACTTCAACGTACACCAAGAATAAACAGCATTCACCAATGGCTGCGAAACATTCATAGCAAATCTCATACTGATGGCAGGACGAGATTCTGCAGTGAAGACGCTGGCCTGAAAATCTCTGACATCTAAACCCCGCAGCGGAGCTGGGAGCTAACTCTTTCTCCCTTCATGCTGCAATCAAAACTCTTTCTTAAACACAGACCTCCCATTGATCCTGCAGGGAGCTGTATACATCCAGAAAACTAATTCAGGAACCTGAAAGAGTTCATCCAGCTCTTTGGGTGTACGACACCCTTTTGCATACACAGCATAACAAACAGGCACCAGATTTCTTTGAAAAGTCTAGAACACTGCAGTAAAATTAAAATTATCAAATCTGACATTAAATGAAACAAAGACACAGATAATCACATTTGACAAATAAGTGCATTTTTTCTCTGTTCTTCTTTTGCATATTGTCTCCATAAGAATGCCACTGGAAGAGGGAAGAGGTAATATTTTCTTATTAATATTATGACATTTGTAACTCTTACCTTCACAGGTATACTTTTGTCAAAATCAGGAAAGTGAACGATCTTATTTAATTTTGACACATACAAGATAAGTATAGTGGCTGCCATCTAAACAAAAAGAAAAAACAAGAAGCCATATAAGAGCAAAATTGCAACATATGAATGAAAGAACTGCTTGAAAGACAAAATCTTTATATACATTCAACAAATGCTAAGTATTATGTATTACTTTCAAACACCAACACAGCATGAAATGAACAAACTGGAGTAACTTTCTTCTTATCAATCTTGTCAATTTTGCCAGCTCTTTATTTAAAAGTACTATATATAGACATATACTTAATTAGCCTGAGAAAACTAGTGGCACCCTGTGAAACAACACACGCAGAGAAGGAGCTGGGAAAATAGAACAGGACATGATCTCAGAATAATCATGCTGTTTTCACCCAAACTGCTGTTTAGTCTGTGGAATCAGTCCTACCACTTTTCTAGTAATGTGCAGTGGTGGCTGCGCATTGATCAGTCCACTGACAACACGAAGAAAAAATAATAAAGATATGGACAGAATGAAGGAGATGCCTGAGTAATCACAGATCATAAGAGTTAATGCTTGCCCCAGGGAGAAAAAAACAGTTAAAACTTTCCTTATGCAAAAATAAAGTAACTGACAGTCTAGAGGATGGGGTGCTGCAGACTAAAGCATTAGGCCGTATTATATGCACTTTATAAATGATCAGGGAAATGTTGGAAAGGAACAGTCAGCAAAAAAACCTGCAAATGCCATTGAGTCTTAGGTTCTGCAAAGAAACACTGCCCTTAACATGAATTATTCCTACTTTTTCTAGTTTGTGGCTTCCACTGAGATATGCTATGTGGTTCCTTGAGCAGTCTGGATGTGAGAAACTCTATCTCCCTCTCTCACACAGCAAAGACTTTACAAGACATTTGACCCTCTTCAGTACCAAACAGCAGACATGGAAGACTTGCCGTACCCTCTCTTCACCTCTTCCTCACTGCCCCTCACCTTAGCAGAAACTGGAT